AAGATCAAAGGCAAAACAAAAACTTACTTAAAAAGCCAAAAACTAGAAGTAAAAAACACAGGTAAGCAGAAGTCTGGCATGGGACATGGAAAACAACATACAATACAGACAAACAACATACAGTGAACTGACACAGAGGGCAAGAAACACAGAGACTAAATAGACATGGGGTAATCAGACACAGGTGAGACTAACAACACAGGTGAAGACAATGAGGGCAATCAACACTGGAGGGAAACACACAGAGGCAGGACAAGAAACACTGAGAACAACTATGACAAATAGATGAAACACTGAGGACACTAAACATCAAGACACACTAGAACAGAGAGGGACACAAGGATTTGAAATTACAAAATAACACAGGAAACACTGAAGACTAAACTAGGAAACACACAAGGGAAAAACCAGCAACACATGGAAACCCAAACGCCAAAACCCAAAACCAAACAAGACCAAATCATGACAGAGGGCAGCATATAAACATTGAAGATGAGAATATAGGGGCGTTTTAGGCATGCCAGTAGGCTAACCTCGATAACAGAAAACTGTTATAACTAAATCATACCCTAAAAAGATCCTTATGGGTAATACAGATTCGACAATTGTAGAATTGACACTGTTCTCACACTTTTAGTATATGAAAATGTGTGTTGTTAAACTTTTGCATGAACTCCACTAATGTAGCATCTACAACTACCAAGCTAGGTTAATTAGCCTACTTTACCAGTTAGCAAAACTAGTCTGTTTTTTCTTCACCTTGACTGAATTTGTTGCTTCAGTTCGAAACATGACCAAGTTGTCTCATCATCAAATGAAATGTTTTTCAACCGCAGAGATTTAAGTGTGTCTAAATATTAACCATACTTTAGCTAAGGCTAGCTCATTAGATAGGCTAAACTTAATGTAGCATTCCATTTGTGGCTGTTTTTAGTGTTGTTTTAGTAAGTGAAAGCTTATGTTAAGAGCCCGGAGAGATTTCCAAACCACAGAGCAGAAACTGTATAGATTGATTTCCAGGTTAAGAAATGACTGCACATTTTACATGCTACATCTTTTTTTCAATGGCATAATAACTTTCTATCTGAATGCAGATGTCAGAAAGTCATTCCATTCAACATTTATCCACATGCAACAATAGTCTGCGAAAATGTGAAATAGTTGTCACTTTAAAAACACAGGTAGGTGTTCGGATGTGAGCCAGTTATTATAAGACGGTCCACAGAGAGAGACTCAGCTAAGAGGGAAGTCAGGCTATTCCCCAGAGCCCCTCCTCAGCTGCAGCTGCACCACCTTGTTTTGACCCAAAGTGCTACACCTGACATGTGTGCCCTTTCAGAGCGGCAGGCCCTATTCTCTGTGGACAGGAAGTTCATTTCCTCAGAGGATGGAGCCACACCTATTGAATTTTATAATGCATGGTTTTTATTTTCCCCCCAAAAAATGTTGCCTGTTTCTTTTCCTCATGCTTTTCCTTTTGTTGCACTGAAAAATAAGTGCTTTACACTCACTGAACTTTAGAAATGTTATCTTCCTTTTCAGCACTGTATCCTAAAGTATATATCAGGCTATATACCACAAACTCAGCACAGCTCTGAAGGTGTGAACAAAGAGAGTAAAAAAAGAGGTAGAAGATTCATCTCCCTTGACCTGTTTCCCATAAGACACAGACAACTTTCACAAGGTGATAATTAAAATGTCATCACTCTGTTAAACATCTCGGGGTCGCTCCGTGGATTGAGAAACCAGAAAGATGGTGTATGACACATTTTTTTCCACATTTGTTCGCCGTTCACAACAGCCCAATGTGGCAACAAAAGAACCCAACAATGAATATTAATATGGACTATGGAGTCTCTCTTGTTTGTTTTATCCGATGAGCGGGATTTGCACCTATGGATACGCCTTAATTTGTATCCAACATAGATTTTTTAAAAGAAAACATCTACATTAGGTCCTTTTTTTCATCTAAATAAGAAACATGGGTAACGTTTGGAAGGCAGGGCAGGATGAAACAAAATTTAAAGAATACATTATTTCCCTTAAAGGCTTTACATCTAAATGAACACGCCTGTTTCAAAGTTGTATAGAGTTAAAAAGTGGTAAAAAAATAAACTCTTAAGTAAAAGACAGATACCAGAAACCTCTACTGAAGTAACAAAGTGTTTGTTCTTGATTACTACACAACTCTGTCAACATCAGGACAAGGATAAGGATAATAATTTGAATCATTAGAAACATTTGCATGTGACTGCTTCTACCGTGCATGTGTGATAAAAATATCCCTAAAACAAACATTGAGACCTTTCCTTGATGGAAACATTTCACCGAGTTCTCAGGCGAGTCACTAAAGGGTTAATGTGTGGTTTCTGAGACAGAGAGGGAGAAGTAAACAAAACCAAAAGAAAAAAAAAAAAGTCAGCGGCGGGAGCTTCTCTCTACAGTGAAGTCGAGGCGTGACCCTCCAGATAGGCAGCGGGCTATCATGAGGGCGTCTCCCTGAGTGACTGGACCAGGAGAACACAGAGGGCCTTTGTCAGGGCTGTGTGCGAAAAACTGCTGAGCCAAGCAAACCCTCACCAACACCCCCCTCCCCCCCTATTTTTTTTTCTTTCGCCCTGAAGACACACACAAACGCTCACACACACACACACACACACACACACACACACACACACACACACACACACACACTTGTCTGTGTTAACCAGCGGTCCCGGGGGACGAAGGTTTTCTGTTGAGCTGGTGGGAAGCAGAGGGGGATGCAGACTGTTTTGTGGTTAAAACTCTGTATATATTAGCAAAGCATTCTGGGATGCATCTTTAACTTTAATAAAGCCTGCTGCAAAAAGTTTCTGAGTTTCTGCAGACAAAAACACTTTCAAGGAAATGTCATCCCGCCTGTTAAATGACTGCTCTTCTTGAAACCATTAAGAGTCTTCTGCTGCGGAGTGCTGCAATTTTTACTGTTTGCCAAGAACGCTCAGAAAAGAAACAAGACAAAGAAGAAAAAAAACCTTTTTGAATGAGTCCTGGTTAACTTACTGTCTGGGCAAAATAAAGATCTGACACACATCAGGACATCAAATTATTCTAAAATAAGACAAGATGATGCAAACATGTCAGCATCTCATTAAATAGAAATGCGAAAAGTGGTGTTATCTGAGGACATGACATTAGTGTCTGGAGAAACATGACCATCCAAACTAATTCATTTGTCTCACAATGTTCCTGAAGATAAGTGTAAATAAAGGGCAGACAGCTTGTCTGCATCTGATTTCTGTTTAAACATACAGATATCATAACACACTGTTTGCAGAAACAGAAACAAGAGTGTGTATGTATGCGACAGTTTAACAACAGAAAAATGCCCCAGAGCTTCTAGCAGTGTTGGAAACATGATTACTGTATATCAACTTATATTGCCCTGTAGCTCAACGTATTCCAACGTGTTAATCTTTATGCAGATTAGGTCAGACTTTCTTCTCTGTAAACTTCAAATTTGTATTTTCCCGAGGCCATTTGTTGACGTACGCACACACCGAACACACTCACTGCATGTATACCCTCCTTTAACCTCCCTTTCTGCCCCTGCTGACACAAAGCAGATGCCGTAGGGGGATCATTTTAGAAACATATACTGACAGAGGAATGAATCATAGTTTATGTAAGGTACAACCTTAACCCACCAGAGGCAACAAGAGCATGTCAAAACAGTGCTGAGTGTCATTATTGCATTATTCCAGGGTTCATGAAATGCGTCTATTGTTCTTTGTTATTAAACTTTTTAGGGAGGAAAGGAGGAAATAACTTGTGTTTGGTCAAATAGAAGACATTTATATTAAAAGACTGTGACTGTTTTCTTTGTTTATTTACATTTTTTATTTCATATTTTCAGGGGGTGTAGGATTTCAAAAAGTCATGATACTCAGATCTTTGTCTTGCCTCCAATCAGGTCTAAACTTCATTTATTCCAATTATCTCTCATCTCTCAGCCCTGGTTGAGTTTCGGCATGTTGACACTCATATATGTCTTTTACAGTACAGCAGTGTTGAAATATCGCCTGTAATTCATTGGTATGATTGAGACTTTTACTGCATATCTTTCAAAGTGAAACAGACCACTGCTTCATAAAGAGTGTTATCCTGACAAAAGCAACACTGTTTAATCATTCTTCCATCATCCCTCCCATTCTAACGTTGTTCACCACTTTCAGTAAAGCATCTGAATCTTTAGCTAGAATATGGAGTTTGGCGATCAAACATATAACATATATGTTTGGGGAGATAGTTGCGTTGGTTGTGCTGTTGGCAGAAATGATGCCAATGCTATTGTTGTTTCAGTTTGTATCTGACCTTGGCTGTGTCGCTTTGGTCAATTGTTTGACACATTGTCGTCAGTTACTCACTTATGTATGTAGGCTAATAATTTTTTGGTTTTGTTTCAGTATGTGTTCGACTGTGTTGGAAGGCGCACTCATCACCAGTGATGAATATTTAACAGTGACCTGTTTAAATTCATGTCGACTCAGCACTTTATTCTGATGAAAGCTGCTAAGCGCCTCAGTCAAGGATCACTGTTGTTTCTCAGAGGCTGCTATATTCAGTGCCTCTTACAGTTTACCATGTTAGATTTTTAAATGTATTTTTGTATTTTGTATTTTTCTTCTGTCCTGTTGTCTTGCCGTAAAACCAATTACCTTTCTGTGCCAAATAGAGTTGAAGTTGAGTTGGCGTATAACTAGCCTAGGTCAGTTTCTCATCATTAATTTGGCTGCTAAGCTAAACAAAGACCAGAGAAACCCCTTATATGGGAAGCAGTGCCTTATGTCAGTTACAGGCATCATTTTCTAACCAGTCCGACAAACACAGCAAACATGTATAGACAGTTTATCTGGACTACCAATGTGGTGTATGTGCGTTTATTGAGTGTTAAACTGTGCATGTGCTTAAAATCCTTCATGGTTGTTTTTAGCTAAATAAATCAAGCAAAAGCCATGTAAATTGTCCATAGAGTTTTAATGAAAAAAAAAACAGCAATGTACCCATTTAACAACAAAAAAATTAGAGAAATTGTAAGATTTGGAGAGCCAAGCTCTTATGTACAGCATATTGCACTAGAAAAAAGAACAAACATCCCCTGTCCTCCTCCGTTCCCTCCATCACTCTACGTTCTGCACTGTTCCAAACACAGAGCAGTCCCAACGATATCACAGCCAATGCTTTAACAAAAAAAAAAAGAAAATGCTACATCTGGCCTGGGTCTCACTTCATAGGGCACATGAGCGTGAAATCCTTGAGACCACTCTGAACGTAAAGAAAGCAATGTGAAGACAATACAAACTCGCCGCGCACACAGCACAGGAGTCTGAAATAAGTTCCACTGTTCAGTTCATGTGTTCAAAGATATATTGTGGTTTTCACTCCATTAAATTACATTCAAACCTTTTAAGATACAGGGTTTTTTTTTCTCCAGGAATGTTGGACATGCATTTTTACTCCATTTACATATATCCAAAAAAGCCCTTGAACTGAGTGTCACATCAGACTTGGTAAAAATCCCAAAAATGTAAGATGCCATACCATTGAAAAAAAGCAATCATAAAAAAGAAAAAAAAAAGTTGTGTTGCTGTAGTTCTTTCTTTGATGTATTCTTACAAAAAGATATTGAAAATGTTTTGCTAACATGTTTTTTTTTTAAAAAGATAGCAACAATAGCTGTATCAAATTCATGTCTTATGTATAAAAAAACACCAAATCACAGCACTTGACAGTAAAGATGCACTCTTTGTTGGATACTCAGAAAACGGATTGAAAAAAATTGATAAGAAAGACACTGAAGGTTGAACGCATTAAAAAAAGTTTCACTTGAGTCAGGGTTTGCAAAAGAGCGGTTGGTAACGACAGGACTCAACCCATCCCACGTCAGAATAATACTGGGCACCATGGTGGCTCATTCCTCCTTCAAATGTAAAACCCGCAGCCCTACTAGACTGTAGACAATAAAGCACAAGAACCCAGGCAAGCTGGGGTCGATACAGCATATTACAGATCTTAAAAAAGTCTCAGGAATCTAGAAGGGGAAGTTCAGCACAGGAGTCGAAAGAGAGAGGCGCAAAATACAGTATACAGGTTAAAAAAAAAAAAAAAAGTTGTTGTTGCTTTTTATACAGTGCACATAGATTGCAAACAGTCGTCTCTGGTAGTAAGAAGGATCTGTGAGGTGAAAGTCACCGTTTGTGCTGAGAGATGTCAAAGGTAGAGCCTGTGCCTCGTGAGCTGATGTGAGAAATCAAACTGATTTAAGATCGTTTTATAGAAGTTGATCTCACAGAGCCCAAGTGAAACAAGAGCTGTGACCAGTGACTTTAGGAAAAAAACCATGCCAAGTGTTGACGATGATGATGATGCGACAGGTCTGTTAACTCACAAGGCACATTATTTTTTTTTTTTGTACATTTGATTGTCCGTTGTTTTCATAGAATTCGGCTCACACGGCGTTTGTGTGAGGATGCACGAGGCACATGGCTTTAGTCCAGCCTCCCCCCACACACAGGCATCAAACACACAACTGAATGCACGTCAACTAGAAGAAAAAAAGGACTGTACACACTGAGATAGCATCTATACAGTAGCACTGAGCGAATATACACACAAATAAATTAGAATAAATTATCCAAAAGAGACCAAACAAAGTGAATCTTCTTGTCAATAAGGACAGGGAGTAGTTAAACACGAGAGAGCGGGAGTATGAAGACCAGAGAGTGTGTCAGAAAAGATATCTGAATTGGCTCAGCGTTCATTGTTTGCAGGAAACAAACTTTTGGTTCAGCTGTTTTTTTTAGTCATAGAATAAAATATGTAACACACTTTTATGTTGAGTGAAAGTATTTGGAAAGATAAAAAAAAAAAAAAAATCGAATGAAACATCTTTGCTTGTTCAGCGTCGTCCACTGCATCACGTCCTCGCTAAAAGGCAGAATTTTGCGAACACTTTCGACATAAGCGTCAGGTAATCAACACGGTCACTTTAACTACTCCCTGAGGAAAACATAAAAGAGAAAGTAAAAAAAAAAAAAAAAAACATCAGTGTCTTCAAAAGTTCATATCATGAGTCTACAACAGACTGAAAAAATACATCAAATGAGGAATTGTTAACATCGTATTTGAAGTCAGAGGAGACTTTTTTTCCTTACATTTAGAAACGGTGGATGTGTTGTTGCAAAATGCTAACGTAGCACGTAGCAAGGAGTATAAACCTTCTCCTTTACCTTGAATGTGTCTGTGTGAGTAGTAAAAATGTCTTGTTTTTTTTAACTGTACAGAGTGAAGCAGAATGTACCACTGGCAGTTTGGTGAAAGAAAGCACTTGAATGAAAAGTTGAGGTGATACAAACGTGTATCAGCACATCAGGTTTGAAGAAAGTGTGTGAGATATTTGACTAAACCTGGAGCAAAAAAAAAAAAAAAAAAAGCATCTCTGTGGCTTTTAACTCAAATGTTTCTGTCATAAAAAGGTATTTGTTAAGAGGTGTGTTTCTTTGACAACGCAAACATGTCTTGGGGAAATGTCCTTTTTTTATGGGTGTCAGTTTGATTGCAAATGCAACAAATCCTGAAGATTGTTCCTGCTTCTTTCCACTGGCTTTAATATTGCTCAGCCCTAAAAAATAAATAAAAAAAAGATGCTGTATTTTTTTTCACAGGTAATTCACAATGCAGCAAAAAGGGTGAAGATTGTCAATCCAGCCAGAGAACGAACCCCTGAAGAGCTTCAGAAAGTGATCAAATTCATCCAAAGACTTTCAGCTGTCTGATTGTTTTTCCCGGTTCCCTGATGGTCATCCCACAGAGGAGATTTGTTTGTCTTTGTGCTTATTTGGTAGAAATATTACTGCAGATTTGGGGAACAGTAAGCACACTCTCCTACAAACACAGGATCACATATTGTAAGAGTAATCACAAATACAATCTTGAAGTAACTCTAAATTCAAGTATGCATGTGTTTTTCCTTTAAAACAACAGGATCTAATCAACACACTTGAACAGCATGAGTGGTACTCGAGTTGGAGATACGGATGGACGACACAGGTTGATAAAAATGTTTCTACATCTACAGTGGAAGCTGGTAAAAACACAGTGCCACACCAGCGTGTAACACATCATCTCAATCAACCATTTGAAGAAAAAAAAAAAAAAAAACGCCAGTGTGGAAAAGTCAAAGGAAAGTTCAGGGCGTGTTGTAACTCTGAGAATAAATTAGTAATGTGCCTCGAGTCCTCAAGGTTTGAAGTGTGAAACTTCAGCGCAGAAACGTCCATATCCACAGATGGTCTCCAAATGAAACTGGCCCAAATCTTAAAAATGGATTCTCTTGTCTTTATGGATTCGTTAATGCAAAAAAATAAAATAAAAGAGTTGTTGACCTGTGGCAGGAGAGAATAAGGCATTCCCCGGACTGATGGAGGTCCTTCAAGACTTGAAATACCAAATAAAAAGAGCGGTTTACTGTACAAAATAGGTCATCTTACAAATATTTCGAAAATATCTCTTTAAACACAATGGCTCCTTCTTGGAAAGACGAAAAAAAAGCTAATAAAAAAAAAAAAGTAACAAAAGAAATGTAATCAAGTCTCCGTCCAGCGGTGACTAGTGTCTTCTTCATCTCATCTTCAATTAGAAAACAAAAAAATCCAAACCCGTGTTCCATCTTACAGTGCCATCTCTTAAAGTCTGGACCCTCAACCCCGTGAGGAAGGGAAGAGGAGGGAGACAAAGGGGGGGCCGAGACAAAGCCGAGCAGGCAGTCCCTTCATCTCTGCGCTCCTCTCAGGCGAGGGAAGAGAGCCTCTCTTTGAAACAGAAAGCCAAACAGGGCCATGGTAAGGCGCATCCAGGCGGGCAGGTTTTGTCTCTGATGCCTCATGAACTGCAGACAGAAAGACAAAAACATATTAGTTTTTATTAGCACGTGGGACGGCATGTTATATCACAAACACTACGGCTGACATACTTTCATCATCATAAAAAAATGACTTCACGGACTCAGATTTCATAATATCAGGTTCTCTATGTGAACTGTGGTAAACCCTGTGTGCTGAAACCATGTGATCAGGTAGACTGGATGTTTCCACAACATTAGCTTTTGTGTCTAGCAAACAAGTGTGTCATAAGCACATCCTGCCTGACACAGGTACAGGGTAACACCTGGAGTCTGTAGGATCGCTTTGGAACTTTCATTACCAGTCAGATAGAATAATTGTAAAACTTCACTAAGTGTTTTAAAGCCTTGGGAGTTTTAGTTTGAAAAAGTCAAATGAATATACGATAGTCAAGATTATTCTAGCTAAGCATTCGCAAAAAATCGTAGAAAAAAACATTGATAACTCTTAAAAAAACGTTTAAAATGCAGGTAAGTTTGCGTTTAATCAACTCAGGAAAGTTCACAAGTACTTTAAAATGAATACTTTGAAAGGGATTTAAAGTAATTTCCTCTACTGTAAGAAGGCTTGGCTTTGCATTTATCAAGTCTACAGGTAATCTCGTTTTAAATTTCGACTTCTAAACAAGAAGCTTAAAGCATGCTTTCAAAGAACAGGCTTCTTATTTCATCACAGCTCTCCTGTAAGAGCAAAGTCAGCCGAATAATGATCAAAAACAAAGCCGAGGAAGCTGAAACTGCTCCCTCCTATGGAGCTGCCTTCCCTGCTCCTGTCATGATCTGTCAGGCTGCTCAGCTCCGCACTGACTTCAGTCAGATGAAGGAGTTCCTGCTGCAGCCTGCGATCTCCTCTCTCTCTCTCTCTCCCCCTGCTCCTCATCTCTGATCCAGCACAGCCTCACCCCCCCCGGCTCTCTCTCTCTCTCTCTCTCTCTCTCTCTCTCTCTCTCTCTGAACACTCAGATATTTCAGCCTGTTGCATAAGCATACTTGTAACGATCCCTCTCCCTCCACGCTCCATCAAGGTCTCTACCAGCCTGGCAATCAGAGCCCGCCACAGGCTATTTAATGCAGACCAAGCAGACTGAACTGAACTGAAGCAGCACCGCTAAATGTAACCTTAATTGTCCTTAATTGCCTTAATTCTATGCTGCGGAACTTACTTAAACAGTACCCTGGTTTGTTCCACATGAGGCTCATCTTTCTGCCTGGGTAGCAGTGAATTGTGTGTTTTTGTTTGCCCTTTTGGGATAATGCAAATTTGAGCTTGGATTCAATTTCTTCCCTAAAATGAACTAACACAACACCTATTTGATCTAATAAGATGAAGTTTCCAGTCTGTCTGGACCAGTTTTTCCACTTTCTTATTCATTTTTTATTGCAGCAAAGAAGCTTTTTAAAGGGAACAAACTGCCTCCATTTTTTGTTTTTACCAACTTGCTGTCTCTGCTGACCTCAAGAAGATAAAACACTATCATCCAGCAGACTTACAAAAAAAAGTTTTATCATTCTAGTTGTAAAAGTTTTTATTTGTACACGCATTGAATTATTGTATTAATAAAGCATTACCATTCAAAATATTCTGATACTATGCTGTATTGATTTTCCCTGCACAAGTAGAAATTACCTTAACATATTGGTATTTCATTGGCCACATAAGTAGTTTGAACTCATACATAACACTCAAGCTGCAAATACAATCTACTCCACATAAACAAAAGCCCACACCAGTCACTTCTGCTCGGAGAGGTGAGTGAAAAAGTCTAACAATAGCGAGCAGACACAATAGAGAGAAGCGATTGGATATCATAAAGGACCACTTGTGTTCATTCTCCCCCCTTTAGAGTATTTCTACAGCAGCGGCAGTATCAGATCCTGCAGGATAAAACCGACTCCGGCGCAGACAGCAGACAAAAAAAAGTTAAAGACAAAAAAAAAAAAAAAAAAAAAAGTCTCTCTTATCTCTGTGTCACAGAGTTGCCACACAAAAACCAAAACACACACAGAGATGCACACACTGAGCCAGTCAGCGGGACAAGTGAGGTATTGTGGGTAGCCATGAGTCAGATTCTATTTTTAGACGCACGAATAAACAGACGGCCAAGTCTACCCAGACACAGACGTGCTTCACTCGCGACAGACACGCAGAGCTCACCTGCTCCATCTCAATCTTTGTAGTGTTTGTCAAAATCTATCGCCGTATTTTCTTCATTTCTCTCCTCTTTATTTGTTCTCTTTCTCTGGTAACAACACTGTCAAGTGCTTTTCAAAACTTATCAACCACACCTTGTTCTCAACAAAGATCCCCCCCCCCATCTTAACAGTCACCCAGTCAGGAGCAGATAAGAAACATGCCACTCCTCCCTGTATACTCTGTACTCTTTAACTTGATTCCAGTCATACGACTTCTGTGAACTCTAACCAGTAACTGCTTGATAAACACTGACACAAGTTAACACCCGAGGAGTGACACCAAATCTTGCCAAAGTCAAACAAAGAAAAGTGTTTTGTGTGTAGCGTAGAATTTATTCATCAACAAGCCGAATTAAGCACATATCATCAGTCTATGTGCTCAACTATTTCCTCAGGAGTTCTGCAAACATGCAAGCCTGCACAATCACCTGACTTCAACATTTCTAAAAAAAAACCTTCAAAAGTTCGAAACTGTTTCATGCTGTGCGTGGTATTTTTTACGTACAAAGGTCAATAAGAGGAATAAGAACATGCCTGTGGACTTTTGGATAAAAACACAAATACTGAACAGAAGGCTTGCTTTGTCTTTTCAACCACAGAGAGGCGACAAAGGGATACAGGAAATTGGTTGGAGACAGGCGAATGTCATTTAATCTGCTCTCTCCCCCCCCCCCCCCAAAAAAAAAAATTGTTGGGAGCATTAAAAAGTGGAGGGGATGGATTTCGCTCTTTTCTTTTCTTTTCCTCTGTCCTCATACAGACCTGGTAACATATCCCTATTATACCTGTTGACTGTAATTGCATGCTATTGATACCACTGACAAATTATATGTAACCCTCTGCTCCTACTCAGGTGCAGCTGATGTCTTTCAGAAAACAAAGATGACCTTGACAAGAGGGCCAAACTTTAAATCACTATGAGAATATTGACAGACAGAAAAGGGCGACATATATCGCTAATAGCCAGTGACATTTTTTTTTTTTTTTTAGTTTCACAGGTTTAGGTTAGTTATTACGTTATAATTGCCTCTTATTGACTTGGGAATTTTCCTTAGGTTTGGCAGAGAAAGTGGTTGATTGCCTGCAGAAGCTATTTTTATCTAGCGTGAGTTGTGGTCAGCCAAGATGGTTATTGTTCTGTCCCTTTCCGCAAATGAATGAGCCACAAATGTGGTGCTTGATAGCTTTCGTTTATGTTTCTTATCAAATGACAGAAGACTTGCATTAACGGCTTTCAAGTAGAACTTATTGCCTGAACAAATTCTAGTTTAATTCCTATTAATATCCCTTGTTTTTTTTAACTTGTTCCAGTTATACCTTCAAGCAGATGCTCTCCTGGGGAAAAAAAATTAAGTCTCATAATTTCCATTTCTTCTTCCCAGAAATGTAAATCTGCTTTTGTTTGTATTGTTTCCCCCCTTTTTGCAGTCGATTGTTGGAGTCAGGCTTACCAGTTCAACATGATCCTGGTGGAACTTGTCTCCTATCTCTCGGAGTTTGCGACCGATTTGCGCCTCGACGCTCGCCCCCGCCTGCTCCTCCAGCCTTTCCGCCATCCTGTCGTCTTCCTCCCCTCTGTCTTCTTCCTCCTCCTCTTCTATCTGCCTCTCTCCCCTGTCCTCCATGGGCTCAAACTGAGCAGGGAAATGTGAGCGTAATCCAGCATTGCCTAAAAGGAAACATCAAGCCTTTTTAAACTTGTGTTGTTGTTGTTGAATCTCTGCGACACCGAGAGGCTGGTGTCTGTCACTGCTGAGGTGATGTCAAGGTGAGGAGACATTACTGATATCAGCTCAGTGTAACTACTTGTGTTTTTCTTTTTTAGACAAGATGGTGAAAAAACCTCTGAAAATTATTTTCCACACGCTTTTTCTCCCTTCCTTTCTCAAACACAAACAGCTTTTATCAGATCTTCTCAGAGGGGAAAATTACAACACACTCAAAGTACAACTCAAGAGTCCACAAAAAAAAAAAGAAAAAGCGCAACAATGTTGTTAGGGGGAAGAACTCAAACACCTCATTGATTCAACAATGGCCTCAGTGAACAGCATCTTTTTTTTTTTTTTTACGGCTGTGTGTCACTGAGTTTGCACATCGCCTCCAGCATAACTCTTGCCATCATGCCACTCGGAGGGAAAACATTTTGTTATGTTATCATGTTTGCAGAATGCGCTGCTATTCTGCTACACAGAGGAGCATAATATTTCCAAGAAAAAGTGAGCATGCTGGACCAAGGCCAAGTGCATGACATCAATTACTGGTTAGCTTATAATGAACCGCGATGACTGTGAATGTATTGAGGACTTTAAGTCGAGAACAATAGGAGCCTCTTAAACGCTGACACTGAATCAACAAACAAACAAAACTCTTCTTCAACTTTCCATCAATTAAATTAGGGTGATGTCACACTGATGTAATTAGATACAGGGAAACTATATTGGATTTAAATGGTTGCACGTATTAGGGTTGGAATGTGTCTTTATGTTATGAGTTGTTGATTTAGATTGTTTCAAGAAATGGCAATGTTAAAGGAATTAAAAAAGAAATGAGCTGGAGAGTGACCACCATTTATCAGATTCGGTTAAAAATGTATTTTTAGAGTGCTAAGTAAGAAGGATAAATTAAAACTGACATAGTAAACAAAAGGTTTATTGGCATGTTTCTGAAGTTCTCAGTATGCGATTTATAGGATGAGGGGATCTCCCAACTACAAGAAATCCAACGTCTAAGATTGTGTGATTTTTGTAAACAGCCAGTTTGCTTTATTAGACAATGAAGGCTGAAGACGCAGGAAATGTGGGGAGAGTAAGTCGGGAATGGCCGGCAGTCGATCCAGTGACCAGGGCTGAAGGCTCTATACATGGGTCAACTGCTCTTTCAATTGAGCTAAACTGGCATCCCAACTGTGTGAAAACTTAAAAGGGAATTTGTTTTGTTAAATGTCCCAAAAAAACCCACAAATGATTCCACTCCCATCTTGTCTGGCACTTTAAATCAAATTGACAGGTTTAATCACTTGGGTCTTTGAGGCCAATAAGCTCCCAGACAAAAGGAATGACTAATACTCTACATCATGCAATGCTGCACACACTACGTGTCTAAAACTATAAGCCAACATCCCCGTCAGCAGGCTCAAAGTATTATTATCTCCCCCCCCCCCCCCCCCCCCCCCCCTCCTTACCGTGAAAGGGTAAGTGAGGCTGCCGGTGCAAACTGCAAGGCAGCGTGTCGACGCTGATGCTGTTGTTGTTATGGCTCTGTGAAGTAGGCATGGCAGCGGTGATGGCGGGGAAGGCCTGTCCGGCTGTGATCTGTGTGGATGGGTCTTCGTATTTGATGTCCCTGAAGGGAGTTCCCCAGAGCTGCGAGATGGGCCGTGACATGTCCTCCTCCTCATCATCCATCCGACGCCTCAGCGGTAAACTCCCTTAAGAGAGGAAGGGGACAGGAGATGGAAACTTTAGGAGGAGAAGTACGTTGATGCTGCAAAACTCAGCAGCACGAGTTTTGACAAGGTCAAAAAAGACACACAAGGCACTCAATGATTTGCCCTCATCCTACATCACTCCTGTTCCCATATCACACTGTCAGACAATCAAGACCCTCTGACCAAAGACTTCTGTCTGTCCACAGATCCAGGACAAGGGGTTATGGGGACTTTTTTTATCCGTGCCCCAAAACTCGCTATGGAACTCGCTGCCCCCTTTGAGCTCATTCTCCCCCTGTTATTGACATCTTTAGGAGTCATCTCAAGACACCCTTATTCCTTAGCTTTTAACTGTCCATTACTAAACCAGCACAGCATCCTCTTCATATTTTACATTATTTAATCACTCCTGATTTTCTCTACTATTTCTGTTTGTTTCATTCTTTTGTTCTTGTCGTATTCTGAATGTTGAAAAGCACTTTGGATTAACTCTGCTGTGTGTACTGTGCTTCATGAATAAAGTTGATTTGATATCGTAAATATCATCACTTGTTTGAAGACTGTGCAAAAAAAAAAGAAGACATATCTCATTTGTTATTAGTAGAAACTCTGCCCCTGTGATAGACAGAAAATGATCACACATTATCTACATTCAGTGTCAATAATTCATTAGTCATTTGCCCAGTAAGGGGGCTAATGTAGTGTGAGGTTATGCTGAAAACAAACACGCAGACTTGGATCTGTCAGTGTTTACTCGGTGTAAAGAAAGGTCATAAAAACACAAGAGACCAGCTGTAGCTGAAGCATAATCTCCTATAACATAGTGATAAGCAGCAGCAGGAGCCAGACGTATGGAAACACCCTGTGGGTGAGGACTCTGTGGGTGGCTGAAAAAGCTCAGCCAGATTTGCCGCCCTCCCGCAGCAGATTTTGCCAACCTGTTTCTGATGATGTGCCAATCGAAATCCACCGAGAAGGTTTTTTTTTTTTCTACTAGCAACCCACATTAATCTTGAATAGTGTGCCACAGAAGAGAGCCCAGTCAGGGGATAAGCGTCCTCTCCCACAATTCTGCAGCTTAACATTAACACTTACTCTCTCTCTCTCTCTCTCTCCCTCTTTTAATCGCACAGTCACTGGCTGGCTGCATGTTTACACTGACAATCCATAAACACATAAAGTAGCGGATGGCGTGCGAGTGAAACCCCCGGTGAAACCAAAGTTCTGGCGAGACTGTCATGTGCTGCCACCGTTTCATGAGCGAGATGGCAAGTTTCACTCCATCCTCCTGTAAACAATCACACTCTTCCTTGTTGGCCACGTGCCACAATCTGCCCTGCTCTTCCATCTTTTGTCAAGGGTGCCTGTCTTTTTCTTTATTGTGTGTGTGTGTGTGTGTGTGTGTGTGTGTGTGTGTGAGTGAGTCAAGACAAATGGGCTGGGTTGACTGGCAAATGCGAAAGTTGAAACTGGATATACTGGTATTGTGTTTACCGAGTGATGCAGCCCCGTTTGTACATCTCATTGTGAAAGTGTCCTTTTGCATGATGTCATATCATATGGAGTCAAAAGAGGAAACTGCAATTTAATCAGCTGTGGAAAAAAACTGTCTGTGTAGCTAGACCACATTATTAGCGTCAGATGATTGTCTCTGGTTTGGACTGTCTGTTTTTTGGAGGTAAACAAAAACATATTCTGACCCACAATAGATGTGGCCGCCAGCGTGTACAGAGCATATAGTCTACATTAACTAACTGTGCACAATTCCAAATAGCCCTTATCTGTGTTTACGTCTCCTCCAGACAAGTTAAGTCGTACATTAATTCATGCTATGCAAGAACTCTCTGCAACAGTACAAGTTTTCCTCAAGTGTACACCTATGTTGCTAGTCAATGAAAATGTGTGTGCTGCTGTCTTAAATTTCCCCTGGCAGCCAACAGCATACTGGCAAGACTGCCATAGTGTCAGACACATAAAAAAACACAAACATAGAAAGCGAGACACACGGAGAAAGACATCACACACACACACATAATATACACACGGAGATACACACTGCCTGGGGCATGCAGGGAGGCCTGGCATCCAGCACAGTGCTGGTCAGAGGCTCAAAGCAGCAGCAGAGAGTGGCTCCCTCTGCTGCACCATCTGTGCACCGGGCACTGCTCCATGCTCGGGGTGGGGGTGCACACAAGGTGAGCTCTGCAGCTATTTCACCTACTGCCTTCATGTAACTATGAAAACATATCCTGTGGTTATCAGTGTGCAAATGACAGGCTCCAATTAAGTCATGAACTCGGTTTTTTTTTGTTTTTTTGTTTTTTTTACCAACAGCATTTACACACAGTTCAGTTGGCCTGGGCTAAATGTTTTGCAGCCAGAGTTATTGTTACTTTTGTTATTAGTGGAAGTTACTTTAGCCCACAACACTAGTGTATCCGCACACACTGAAAAGGGCACTTAATGTGCGACTTGCAAGGTGGTTAAATTTGTTCAAAATTGGGCTCTGGAAGACCACTGCGGATGCTGTGCAGCTTGACCCGCCATCAGGAGCTTGATGACCGGGGGCAGCTCAGAGCGTACAGCCGGGACGTTCAACCGCGGATCACTGTAAGCAGAACATTCACACGCCGACAGACGAAACATCTACTAGTGCAGGACACATTTTGCTGACACATGATTCTCAGCAACAACAAAAAAAACGCCAAAAAACCCCCAATCATGTTTATTTATTTTTAATAAAATCCTGTTGTTTTTTTTTTTTTTTAAATCCTGAAAGTAGCCTAGGTGAAACTCTAGGTTTGCTCTTTTTCTTTCAGCGTCAAAAAAAAAAAGATAAGTAGTAGGACTCCGAAAAATTAGGACAGTTTCATAACAGTGTTACTCGCATTGCTATCATTACAACCTTTATCCTCCGTTGACTTTCTCCTCACTCCAGTGACAACTCTTCTCCAAAACAAACACACCACAGAGAGGGAAGGTTTGCCAATACAAAGCTGCAATTAACAAACAATGAGTAGTACAAAAGCCGTAGTAGCAGGTTTTTTTTTCTTTTTTCTATGATGTCGGTTACAAACTCGTGGTGCAAAGCTTCGGTTACATGTTGTATCATTGTGTAAGGACGAAACAGTAACGCAACCAATCAGCCGGTTAAGAATCAAGCAGTCACACGCACAGTCACTTATCCACGCAGTCCAATTAAACAACAATAAAGACTTACTCATATTAAGGAACAAGACATAAACACATCCTTTAATGCCATCTCAGGCATAATATGCAAACCCTCCTCCAAGTCCGCTCACAGCGTCTCTCTGCCCGGGCATGCCCGAGCTGCCCGCACATTTGTTGACAAACTTCAACAGCACAACGAAGCCCCCGCGGCGGTGCAAAAAAGACACAATTGATGCACTTTTTTTAAGTTTGTTCAACTCACCGCCAGCAAAAGCGCTTTCCGTTGTGATCGGTGGTATCTTGACAACTTGCTGTTTACCTTGTCTCCGACGGACTGCACTCATGCGACTCGTATCCCTCTTTGCATTACAGCCGCTCATAGAATAGAGGTTTGCTGACTGGAGTGGGGTTGTTTTTTTCCCTCTCTGTCAAAGCGGTCCGCCCCGACGGTCCGGGACCCCGCCCATTCTTAATAATGGGAAAGGAACACAGAGTCAGCTATGGGTGTCATGCAAAATAGGCTACAACACACTGAAAGGATGAAACAATGTTGTTGCTTTTGAGTCGCACGTCAATCTGAATTTTGTCAAATGACAAGTGCTTGAGGAAGCGTTTAGACTCGCCTATTTCATTTAATTCGGGAGTAAGCAATATCTCATCGTTACGGTTATCATGAATCATTCAAATCCATGAATTATTGAGAATGTTACATTAGTAGAAGTGCAGTAAACGTAGAGTTATGTAAATGCACTCGAAGGACCAAGCCTGTCTTAGACGTACAACAATATGTCAAATAGACATTATGCAAAATTCTTAATTTGTATAGAATAGGGATATCTCTCTCATACATGGGCTCAGTTAAGCACGTTGCTTTTGAATTGGTGTTGTATTAGGGTACATAGTCAAATGGAGAACACTAAAGCACTTATTCAACTATAGGCTATTTTATTATAGCCTACTCTGTGTGGTAAATAAACCTGTAATGGCTTCATCGTGTGCCAAATGTAGCCATCATTTTCTATTTGGGTGTGTATTTCTGAATAATTTTCGAATTTCAAATAAACACATGAATAAATCAGTCAAAACAGAAGTATAAGACATATATTAAGTTGAATCTGTATAGTTGTTGACATGGAAAAAAAAAAAATATTGTACCTACCACTTTAAGAGAACAGTGTTCCTCGCAACCATAAGCTGGTGACACGCAGTGGACCAATCAGGTGGTTTGTTTTGGTCCCGCCTTCTGCTTCGGGTATCTTGACACGTGGAGGAGGAAAAAAACACAAACCCAGATAAGGCATGTGACTGCTTTCAGCTCTGCTCAGCTGATTGGGAGCTGCTGCTAGATAGAGTGATTGTACCCACCCAGTAACTGGGGTCGGTGTGCTGATGAGTTGTGTATTGTCAAGGCAACAAATAGAGCCATTGATTGAATTGCCACACATTCATGTCAGTGTCCCATTGTACAGTAATGTCATGGTTATACATTTTATATAAAAAGGAACACAATAGAAAGACTATATTGACATGAAATACATTTTTATCTTTGTTTTTTGTTTTTTAAATCCTCTGAATACGACCACTAAAAATTAAACATTAGGCCTACATAATTAAAATGTAAAATTAAAAAAGGCTTAAGTAAGTTATCTAAACAAACCATTACATGAAATAGTTTAACGTGACTTAACTTAAATATAAAGGAATATGACATTGTATGATATAATTTTATATAACAAAACACAACATAGTGAAGTTAAAGTGTCCTTAAATGCACCATGGCTCTATAGTAACTTGACAACAACGCGTGAATGTACAACGTAAACATAGCGTGGAGCCATTTCAGTCCCGACCCTGAGGGCACCCATTGTTTAACATGGTGTACTCAACTGATAGATGCACAGTGACAGTGAACTAAACCACATCCCTGGCTGGTGACCCTCATTGCACGGTGAGGGGCACGCCCATCCATGGCATCACTCAAAAGAGGAAGAGAAATGTACAATGAAATCAAGCCTTAGCTGCAAATAAAGAGGTTACTGAGTTCAAAACAAGCTCCCACGAAGAGTGAGACTATCTGATCCGTGGTGTGAGTCAGATTTATTCCCAGGAGACAATTTCTGGATGAAAGCAGATGCTGTTGGTTTTTTATCATGTTGTGTAGGTCAGCCCGTGCAGGATGTTGTGGGTTTTTTTTGGGTTTTTTTGACACTGTCCCACTTCTTTATTGTACAGCTGGTAATGTGGTAAAGTGTGATTTTCTCAACTTCTCACAAGATTCCCATGCACAGCTTTCTGGCAGACCAGCAAACAACCCCTGCTCAGCCTTGTTACAAGCTTCCCAACCCCCCATCCACACTAACCTACTGCCTCCAACTCACAGTGAAAGGGACCCCACCCAAAATTTGGAAGTAGACATCTGATGGTGCTTGTTTTTGCTAACTCTCTTTCTCTTTTTTTGCGTGTTGTATGGGTGGGGGCATTAATGGATGATTGTTTAAGCAGATAGCATACAGTTTTAAACACAGTATAACATTTTTGCAAGTTATTTTGCTCTAAAACTTAATACCTATGATAAACCTTATGCATGGCTGTGCATTATAGTAAAATTGAAAGTGAAAATGACTTATTGCATGAAAATTTCTTCTTTTTCAACTACATTTTGACTCATTGGTAAAGTATTGAATATGAAAAGAATTTGTAGTTTACAGCTGTAACATGAAGAGTTATAAAGGAATCTATAGCAAATATAAATGAAAGCACAAACATGAACGAGAGTTAAATGCCGACTAAAAACGCCATATTATTTTCTCTCTTGTTGAATGATGTTTAGGTATTTATGATTTGAAGGACAAAGCTGCGTTTTTTTTGAATAATTAATAAATACCTCTTGATTAAAGCACCCTTTGAAGATTAAAAAGCTTAGACAAAACAAAAATAAAATTACCCACTGGAATTAAAAAGTTTAAAACATCAGTTTTGCTACAGTTTGATGTGGTATTCTGGCTTTTAAAGCTAATTTCAGAGGTTGAACCTTCAAAAATTAATTAGTCCACTGTGAGCTGCATTTGAAAAACAAAGAAAAAAAAGAAATCAAATCGCCCATAAGCATTTCAGCGCTCTAGTCCTCCCTGAGCTCCCTTTATCAATAACTAATTAATGTTCCCAAACAATAGCTCCAAGATGAGAGCAATTCAATCACAGTCAGTTATTCCATTAACAATGGACTCTGGGGTATACAGTCATTTTTCTATCAGTTTCATGTGTTTTGGTGAAGTCTTTTTCACCAGAGTTAACTACATTTGGGTTGCAAATCTGATCCCCCCCCCCTCCCCCTTGTGTTGTTAGAGAAAATAACATGATGTGCTGTCAATGCAAGAGTTTTAGAAACCCAAACGTCATGCATTGTGCAATCTCATCCTCTGTTTTTAAGCTGTCTTTTACTTTCAAGCGCGCTGTTTGAACCCCTTTGAAGAGGGAAAACAGCCTTTGTGTCGGCGCTGAACTCACAACTTGTCATCTAAACTGAAACTTCCAGTACCTCTAATGTGTCAGCAGCAGCGGCAGACAATGTGTCCTCGCCCATTTTTATCCCAGCAATTTTCCCCAGCGAGGCAGTCAAATATTATCCACCATGAGTTATTTCTGATTTTGTGCTGCCAGCAGAGGTGCGAAGGCTCTGGATGTTGAAATTTTTCAAAGTTCGCTGCATAATGATACAATTTGCTTTGTGGCTTTTTCCCTAATGGTGCCTGACGTCCAGACGCTTTGTCTTCAATCTTCAATCCGTTCCGCACCCAAACAACTCCATCCGTGTTTGTGCTTGTACTGCATGCACTCACGCATCACAATTTTATGGTTTTGATCCCTTTGCCGCTTCATTATCTACCTAAATCCTTGTTTTTAGGGGGCTGTTTTTCACATAAATTGATTGTGAAATATCATGACAGAGCTGCCAAGTTTTCACAGGTTATTGGAAACCTCTGTCCGCCTCCACACTCCCCTCCTCCTCCTCCCTCCTGTTCTGTCAACACCTCTTGATTTTAACCACAGGTACAGCAGGGGCTCTGCCAATAAACACTGCTCTCCCTGAGTTCATCCAGAGGTAACACATTTGAAGCCCAAAACCACCCGAGGGGAAAGACTTCCTTACGATTATTATGAATGTTTTGTCACTACATTAAAGCCGTGCATTAAATGTGAACCAATGCAGAAGTGACACTGGGCATGTTTTGGATGGAAATAATTTGTTGCATTGTCTTGCCGTTTGTCTTGACATGCTTCCAGCTGGGATGGCAGGTTGAAGTGAATGAAAGTTTAATGATTACTGAGCAGCAGCAGAATCAGCCATGGTGGTAAACAAACCATTCGTCTGGCAGCCTGATGACACCTTTGAAACATCCAAAACACTTCCTAGATCCAATTTGCAGGTGTCCTTGCACTGATGTACAGAAATATATTTTTGCTGTGACATTATTAGCATCCTATACTGCTTAGCTGCACCTATTATACAATGGAATAATTGTTTTTCTACTCATTTGTTGTGAATTGATTGTATCATTTAACACAATTGTCAAAACTACTATCTAGGACTTGTGACTCAACCAGACTTGTTTGGTCTTGAAGACAATTCAACAATCATGTAACAGGCATCAACACTTCATCAGTCATATCTTATTGACTCACTACTTCTGGAAGTCCTATGAATTAGTTGACTAACACTCTTTATAAACATACTCATAATCAGTCAATCAACTGTTCCAAAACTGTTCTAACAAAGGCCCTTTGTTGGCCCTGCAGCTACAGATGACAAGAACAAGGATATATTTGAATTACTATTGACAAAGAACACAAAGTGTTCTTCAACAAACCATTGACTCAAAAACAAAGTCAAGAGCACTGATTGATTGAGAAGTTCGATTGAGAATTTTAAGGATTAATACAACTGATGTGCATTTTTTGTAGGGGTTGTCTCCAATTAACTCATGTGCTACTTAAAGGTCAAATAATGTGAAAAATTCACCATGCTTTCAAACAGTAATACTATGTAATAATATGTGTCCCTTTTCTGTCTACAAACCCCCCAGTTATGAGAAAGTCCATCCTCTGTGTCTTCTAAAAGGCAAGATTTTCCCATCATGACATCACAAAGGGCAGTAACCCCTCCCCATGTGGGTGACACTCCACCAACAGCAACAACAAGGGGACAACAAGGGTGCAAGAAATCCTAAACCAATCCAAGACGTTTGAGAGAAGGGCGTGGTCAGACACATACCATTTGCATTTAAAGCTACAGACACAGAAACAGCCTGTTCTGAGCAGGTTTGAAATAGTGGGGTTTATAGGCATGATAAAATACAGGATTGAAA